ACCACCCAGTTTTTTTTATTGGCTTTTTTTTATTGTATTCCTTTCCACATACTGATCAGATTCTTCTAGCGCGAGAAAATGACACATTATCGACTCAAGCGTCCCTTTGAGAATCGACCCACACATTTGTAATGTATAGGTATTCATCAATGCACAAGTACAAATACTATTCTGCGATTTGTTGCCACGACAACAAACTCTACCAAATAACAAGTGTTGATATATTTGAAGACTGTTTGAACGGCACAGTCGGAGAGAAAGGTAAAATTTGAATGTGCAGTATTTCCCACGTTTTTTTTAGACGCCATTTCTAATGCTAAATAATAATAATAATAAAAGATTCCAGTGTTAATTGTATCTTTTCCAGTTTCCATAGAAATAAAATATAATCTAAACGGCCTTCGAACTTTGTGATTTCCAACTATTAATTCTGATGTATAGGAGAAGTGCACCCTTACTTTTAAAACTGAAAAGATTACCAGAATCCTATCATATTATCCAGTATGTTGCCCCACTTAGTTTTAACGCAATATTACTTTAACGAAATAGATATTGAATGTTTGGAATCGGTAAGTATAGAACTGTGGCGAGACAGTTTTTTGGCGACCACATCTTGACCCTCATTTCCAGGACACACGAGATTATTGCAAACAAATTAATACACGAGAGTATGGTAAACAAATAAACAAAATGTACAATGGTAAAAGGCAAATATAAGAAATGTACAAGAGGAGCCAGACTTTTGCAACAAACGGAAAACACAGCATTCATGTATGCTCGTAAGATGTTAAGATCCACCTCATAACACCAGTCAACATTCCTTGACTCGATATTTAACAAATAGTGCATTTATAGTCCATGCACACGCATCATATTTATTTATAACATCTTAGCTTCAGCTTCAAGTTTAGCATTGTGAGGATAAAAATACCAGCAACAGCTGCAAACGATCATATGATTTTTTCAGTAGGAAGATATATATATATCAAGTACACTATGAATGCACAACAATATCACATGGAAATGAGATTAAATTATTCATAGTTTTTAAGTAAAGTATGTATATGTTTATGAAAATGAAAGAATGCAAAGCGGCTATAAACTTAAAATCCTAGTAGAAGTTTCTGGGGTCATAATAGAAGCAGTACATACGTCATAATGTAAAAATTATTCTTCACTTGTACGTAACGTTACTTGTTGAACGAGTAGTTCACTTAATCATATTTTATATTCAGGAAAAAAAAAGTAACAATAAACTTTTCTACCCATAATTAAAACTGGCAGCTTTTATTTGACGTGATGGCAGTTAGTACGACTGACTGACGCGTTATTATCGTGGTAACTTGAGCAATAAAATACCATCGTGACCTTGCAAGTCTACATAAACTCTGGTTATTCAAGGAACATTGATGTTTAAACCATTGTACTTCTCTTTCAACCGTTTCTAACCAAATGCAGCCATTATTATCCTCGGTCAAGTAAACAGATTAACCAACCGATAAGAAGACTCGTCCATGCCAAGGATTTTACAGTGCACACAGGAGCGCATCAATTCTCGGGATAATAACGTTCTATATTGGCGCAAAAAGGCGCGAGACTAAATGGCAGGCACAGCTATTCTACAGATGCCACTGCAACAGTATAGCTGTTATAAAGCCCAAGTGCAGTACTTTTATTCGTTCCGGATGCCGTGCCCGAGTGGTTCCAGAATGGGAAAGCGAAGACCTTGCTTGCGAAAGGCCTGTAATCAGTTCCGCGCCGATGCTGTTGGTCAATGTGCTAATAACAAAGGCGCCTTAACTATAGGACTATAAATCCCCAAGGGAAAAAGGAGCCTCCACACATGCTGGTCTCTTTAATCATTAACAGAAAACGTGACTACCTGGGCGTGAACTAATACTGTCTAGCTATTCTTAATCCGTTCCTCCCCCACTCATCCCCTTTGCCCTTGGGAAAGAAGGGACGGAAGGAAAGGGGGAATAACGTATGGGGTGGTAATTGCCGCCCTATTTTTCTGTACTCACTATTATTTGTTAAGCCTAATACACAGGGGTGGGGTGGGGGGAACGGACAGTTCACTGCTTTGTTCCTGTTCTCCAGAGAAGACTTCCCCCATCAGATTAGTAACTGATCCCAATGAATTAAACGGTGTTGTCATTATTACACCAGCAGGAATACACGGAAAGTCACATCACTTGTAAACAATTCCAGTTGGCTGACAGATAAGTTTCCAACTTAGCCATATGGAAATAAAAGTTTCGGTAATTCTAAAAAAATAAAAAAATAATTTAATTTGTTTGTTTTTAATTATGCACAAAGCTACACAAGGACTATCTGTACTCTGTCCATCACGGGTATCGAAACCCGGTTTCTAGCGTTGTAAGTCCGCAGACATACCGCTGTGCCACTGGAGGGCAAAAGTATTTAACAAATATTTTTTGTGATCCCTTTCAAGCACTCATTTGTTTAGTTTTTCTCTAAATGCTAAAAATCAATAACGTTACGAGAGTCTGTACGTGCATTATTACAGCTCTATGTTACTCTTCTAAAAAGCAATTAATTAAAATTTTGTTTCCTCTTCCAATACTTGAGCAGTTTTTTTTCTACTTTTATACTGAGTTAAAGTTTCATAAAAACCAGCAAGTTCGAAATACAGTAAATTATTGTCCAATCGTTACGTGACACATATGAAAACAATCATTTTGTGAAGAACAGAAGAGATGTCTATTCATCACCTCCTCGGTTACGTCACTAGGATTGCTATACTAATAGGAGAACGTTTACTATATACTCACATTGGTCCATTTCACTGGATCTAATTTATTTGTTCTTACTTCCGTTTCGTGCAGATGGCAATCTATTACCATCAGTCCTACTAAAGCCATCAAACATTTTCGAAAGACCAGTTAATGAAAGTGCTGTTCCCAATTGGAACGAGACAAATCAGTTTTTACCCAGCTGCGGTGGTGACTGTCTAAATCATTATGACTGCTGACCTCATTAGTTTGGAAAGATTCATTTTTCACTTGGGTTGATGGGAAGGGTGAGCAAGGAGAAGAGCACTAATGACTCGTATCAAGAGAAGAAGGAAATCAATCATATAGCAGCGGTGATCAAGATTCATCATTCTCCTCTCACCCTTCTATATAATATAAAGTTGTTTTTTTTTATCTTTCAATGGAAGATGCTTACAGCACGTCGTTCGAACAAGAAACCCACGCTAGTGACTCACTATCTAATTTGTATAATTAACTTCACACGTCAAAAATATACTTTTGAAAAACCTGCAGAATCTACTCAAGTTTTCTGCACCAATTACATGCAACAAAAAGAAGTAAATAAATATAATTAATGCAGAAAATAATATCTTATTAAGAACACTGATAATGCAGAAGATAGTATCGTATTATGAACAGTGATAATGCAGAAGATATTATCCTATTAAGAACACTGATAATGCAGAAGATATTATCCTATTAAGAACACTGATAATGCAGAAGATATTATCCTATTAACAACTCTGATAATGCAGAATATAGTATCCTATTAAGAACACTGATAACGCAGAATATAGTATCCTATTAAGAACACTGATAACGCAGAATATAGTATCCTATTAACAACTCTGATAACGCAGAATATAGTATCCTATTAACAACTCTGATAACGCAGAATATAGTATCCTATTAACAACTCTGATAATGCAGAAGATAATATCATATTAAGAACACTGATAATGCGGAATATAGTATCCTATTAAGAACACTGATAATGCAGAATATAGTATCTTGTTAAGAACACTGATAATGCAGAAGATAGTATCCTATTAAGAACACTGATAATGCAGAAGATAGTATCCTGTTAAGAACACTGATAATGCAGAATATATTATCCTATTAACAACACTGATAATGTAGAAGATAGTATCCTATTAACAACACTGGTAATGCAGAACATAGTATCCTATTAACAACACTGGTAATGCAGAATATAGTATCCTATTAACAACACTGGTAATGCAGAACATAGTATCCTATTAACAACACTGATAATGCAGAAGACAGTATCCTATTAACAACACTGATAATGCAGAAGATATTATCCTATTAACAACACTGATAATGCAGAAGATATTATCCTATTAACAACACTGATAATGCAGAAGACAGTATCCTATTAACAACACTGATAATGCAGAAGATATTATCCTATTAACAACACTGGTAATGCAGAACATAGTATCCTATTAACAACTATGATAATGCAGAAGATATTATCCTATTAACAACACTGATAATGCAGAAGACAGTATCCTATTAACAACACTGATAATGCAGAAGATATTATCCTATTAACAACACTGATAATGCAGAAGATATTATCCTATTAACAACTCTGATAATGCAGAAGATACTATGAAACCTAAAATTTACCTACTCTGATTAAGAACGTCTTTTACATTACCATTCAAGCCCACACACACACACTCACATATATAAATATATATAAAAATGTTTTGTTTAATTTTTTATATTTTTAAAGACTAATGAACAAATATAAGGTTGTGAAAGTGCTCTTCTCATAAAAAATGAATAAATCGTTACTTTACATTAAAACGGATTCTTAACCTGGTATTAATTTACTTTATATATGAATGTATAAACATTATTTCTCAGCTTTCTGTGGAATGTAGAACGCCTTGGTTTACTACTAAAGAAGCTGTAAGAAACAGAAAAGTGAGTACTATTGACACGTGTAACTGATGTAATTACAACACGTGCAACCTATTGCCTTAAAAATAATACGCATCACTAGAAACACTTTGATGATCTGGTTTGTTAAAGATATGTCACTTACATGATTCATTTTATTTACTATAGAATCGTACACGTCACAAGTTTACAGTTCCTGGATCTGAGCTGTAAACCAAAGCCTAACGTCCTTAAAGTATAATTGCGTTTTCACACACTGGTAACTGTGGTAAATACCTCATTTTCTGCTTTCATTCTACATGGTAACTGTGGTAAATACCTAATTTTTTGCTTTCATTCTACACTACTTTATCAAATAAGTAGAAAAATAAATAAGGTAGTAGAGAAATAATAAAAAAACTGTGGTATGTCTGCGGACCTATACTGCTAGAAACCGGGTTTCGATACCTGTGGTGGGCAGAGCACAGATAGCCCTTTGTGTGTAGCTTTGTGCTTAATAATAACAAACAACATCTTCAAGTTTTCACAAAATGTTTTACACACACACACACACACATATATATATATATATATAAAGAGAGAGACGTAGATACTAGCAAGTAAATAAATAATTTGAAATATGTACTTCTATTCTTACCACCAAACATGCTGAAAACTTTTCTTTTGCCCTAATCTACGGAAAGTAGTCTTTTACATAGAAACGCATACATATATTTTCAACTTTTTATTTCGTTCTATTTCAGATAGTGAAAAAGTAAATACATATGCGTGCTTTCATACAAAGATGGAATTGATTGGTCCGCGTGTTTTTTGTAATCCTTACGAAAATACAGTTTTCTGTTTCTGCTACGGGAAATGAGTCACGCGCAACGCTCATCAAATCCTCAGACGTTTAAACTGCTTCAACATTTTCTAAATGACAAAAAAAAAATTAAAAGTATTCACGCAATCTGAAATATCCTGTCATTTGTAATATTAACTGCTTCAGTCCTACTTCATATCCACTCAAAGCTGCCCCGTTTTGGCTTTTTTCCAAATACTACCCCAGGCAAGCACGTTAAGAACCGGGGGTCTCATTCGAACATTCTCGCTGCTTGTGACGTTACACGGAAAGACAAAAATAATCCATTTAGAAAATATGATCTATGACATGAAAAGCGCTAGTGCTTGGACTACATGAGAGACGTAAAGTGTACTTACGGGTCTGTCGTCAGAACTATGAGCTGTGATGAGCAATCGATTGAAAGGAGGTCCAGCACACCCAGGGCAGTTTCCAAGAAAAGGACAAACCAAGCACAAAAAAAAAGAAGAAAAACAGTGATCAAAATATACAACAATATATTTTGTTTCTCGTTTCACTTACAGCAATTTTATGAAACTTTCTCTTTTACGTGCTCTTGCCCATTTTTATATTAAGATATTACAGACATAAACTTTATACTTTACCAACTAGTTTCTTGTCACTGGAACTACCTCTAAAAATAATAATATTTATTCCACGTGTTTCTTCTAGTTTTTGTACATCTTAAAGATAGTTGATTCCAGTTTCAGAAGAAAAAAAAAAAGATTCTTGAGTCTGAGTGCTAATCGAGATTTGATTCTCCGCGATCAAAAATAATTTTCAATACATTCGCAGGTTAAAAAAATAACAACCCAGAACTAACTTCAAAGTTCAATGGTCATAGCAAATCTGTTTTAACAATAAGTCTATTTATTATCGTCGAAACCCAAATGCATTAAAGTAAATTTAAGTAAGATCTTATTGACCGCAACTTAATTCTAATGAGTATGAAAGCAAAACATTTATCAATAATTGTAAAATAAACAAGTTTAATTCTAAATTACCGCTGTTGGAGCGTTTGTCTTCTCTATGATCCTTCAGGTTGGAAGCAGACATAGCAGCGGACGATAGGTGAGACCCGTGTCCTCCTCCGCCCAGGGCGCTGGAAAGGGCTAATAAACCAGCTGCACTGGTGGGGGGTATATTTGGTGGCTGGAGTCCAGCCATGGCCGCTGCCGAGGCGTACGGCATCATGGGAATTGGGGGTGGATGAGCATGCGGAGGTATCTGTGGTGTATGCATTTGATGCTAAATGGGAGAAAAAATACACTAAAGATACATGGTCGCTTAAGAAATTAAACTGTAAAAATCTAATAATAAACGTGTTCTGTAAAACAAAGAAAAAGCTTTAACAAGTAACAAGATCGAAAACTCTTCAGTTGTTGCGAGTACATTATTTCTATCTTTACGAAAAAATACAAATTAAGCACGTGCACGTAGAACATTATGTGAAAAAAAATCACCTTTATTACATAAATTAAAAAAAAGCCAATCGTTTAATCACACGTTCTTTATAAAAAATATACAAGTTATCTAGAAAATGAGCGTATGATGTTTTTTGTTGTTTTTTGCATCAAGTTGTGATCAATATCGATCAGTCAATTCGATTGGAGTAACTATTAATCTCAACAATGAAAAAAATAAAATAAAACAGAATATTATAGATACTGCTGCCAATGGAAACGTTTTATATATCTTTGTACTTTCAGAAGAAAAAAAAAGACAGAGGGGCGTATGCTGTGCGTTGAATACAACTTGACTATATTATCTATAAGCGCTATAGGACCAAACAGCATTTATCAAGGGGGGAGGCGAGGGGGCATACAAAATTTATCTGAAAGCCGCGAGAGAAATGACGGTCATAACTCACGCGAAAAGTGACTTACAGAATGAAATATGTGAAAATAAAAGGCATGGATACTATTTGGATACATGCTTTCCTAACACGACAGTACTTCATGTCAAAATTTTCACAACTCACTTTGCTTTATTAATGTAATGGAAAGCGATTGGAAACGCGAGTTCCCATTGGTGACATTAAATGATGTTTTTTTTTCACTGCACGTGTTTTTATTTAAGTTCTTGAGGCTATGTGGAGTTAGAAGGCAAGTGAATATTTTCGGTTGTTATAATTGGGTAAGAAGTTGGACTCATTTCAACACCCCCCCCCCCTCACGTAATGTTAGGCTATTTTGCTTCTCTAGAATTACGGGTTATTATTAAATAATATGTTAATAACATGTAGCTAAAATACATTACATGTACGTTTGTTTAAATATTTCATACAACTTGTTGTTTGTTCTCAATCTTAAGTAATGAGAATAAGTAATAATATATGTGCGTTAAACAATATTCAGATTTCGTGTACGACAGAAAAACGGTCAGATAAACTGCGTTTATCGGATTACGATTTTATGTTTTAAATTCAGTGCAATTATTATTACACTTTGTTAATCTCTCGGGAATATTAACACCATTATTACGCTTTAACGTTAACTGACAGTGTGTCGTAATTTATTTTTGATTGTCTTGTAAAAGCTAACCATCGACCAGGTGAAAACACCACTCAATAAACAGAAACATGCTACTTCGCGAAAGGAGGAAGCTAATCAATTGTTAATTAGAACGACTCGCTGATGGGGACGTGAGAAAGTCAATTTCCCTCAGGAGACTGGAATTATTACATGTCGAGGTTTTTTTCTTTTCAATTTAATTGCAAGAAAAGGATGGCTGACGGATCAAAGCCCTGGAAATCTCAAATGATGAGTTAGATAGTATCTTTTCATGGCATTAATTACTTTTTTGTCTACACGGGATTATTATGTCTGAACCAGAGCACCTGGGCAAGCAATTACATACAAGTAGTTCATATCTGTATTGATCGGTAGTTGGCGCCACTGATTCATGACTTGTTACTTTTCACGACAAAGTGCACTACACCTACTGATGTTAAACGTATAGTTTATATACAGCTGAGAACAATTACCGAATTAAAACTAAGTAAAAAAGAAGACAAATACGACAGTATAAATAACCAAAACTTATAAATGAATACATTTTCTGAATGTCAAATAGCATGTTTACATTCATTTTTGTCTTCCATGTTAACAGTGGTATCGTTTGTTAACGTTTTTTTTTTTACATAGATTGTTAAAAGCGCTGATAAGATATTTATAATACACCATCCTGTTTACCTTTGTACATTAGTAAATATGAATTTCTTGGAGTATCTGCTTTGTAATAATGGTAAATACGTAACTCATACATTCAAGGCGTTGCCATTTACCTATTTCACACAGCAAATGTTTTTCAAACTCTTGAAGCAAGATTTATGTTTGGACAAACACTGAAAGTAAATATTTGATTGCTTTCATGAGAAAATACTTCTTGCTGATACACATAAAAAAAATGTTTACATACACCTAACATTGCACACGTGTCTCACAGAAAGAACTATGGAAAATGAGTCATGTGTACAGGAAAACCACGTGTAGACTCCTCAGCTTTTGTTCAAACAGGTGGTATCGTAAGGTCGATAACGAGCTAATGGCCCATGTGTACTTCCACAGATAATGCAATTGCTTACAAAGAGCACGCTCGGGAGATATAACCTAAAGCATTTTACCACCCCCACCATCTTCTACTAATAAAAATCTTAGCTATTTAACGAAACTTGAAAAAAATAACATACTTGGACGTGTTTTGGAATATTCATTAGAAAATTTAGCCAATAGGGGGTGCAATCAAGTAAAATTTATTTCAAGAAAACTTTTAGTTACACCCAAACTAATTTTTTTTCTTCTGGGTATCATCTTTTTATGTTTCATGATGTTAGAAAAACACGTAGGTTAAAGAAGTCTTGACAGAAATGAATAAAAATCCTATTACCCGAGCGCTTGCTCCTGAAGAAGAAAGGTCCCACCTTTCGAAAGCGCTCGTGTTATAGGGTTTTTATTCATCTTTTTTTTTATGGTATAACTTTGGTTAGACACAGTATGACAACTTTCTTTTTTACAGCGCACCTAACAATGTTCTTTGTGGAAACCTTAGTCTGGCACGATCTAATGCGGGTCTGTTGTATTGAAATATTATAGATGCCTTACTTAATCAGACAGCCATTAAAGTCAATTTAATTGGTGCCTACGTTATTAGTATACAGTGAGCCGCAGTTAAATGTAGAATTCACATATTCAAGGTTGATATTCGATGCTGAAACAAGACACCAATTATTATACAGAATGGAGGAAGAAGTGACTAAAGAGGAATAATTTTCTCGACTACTCTGTCAAAGAGAAGGAACACATACGTACTTGTACCATCTCAATCCGAACAAGCATTTGGCACAATGATAACGGCAAGGCGAATTTTAACCATATCCTTTTTTACTTTTCTTCAGTTGTGATTGATGTAAAGATAAAGACACATAAAGTGATTATTTTAATTAGGATCTAGCAGAGACTCGCAAAACATTTGTGGTCAAATTAGTACCTTTATTGCAACGGTACTTTTTTAAATACAGGGCTTCTAGAATAATATAAAATAATTCTAATCGCACACAGAAATCTATAAGTCCACTTGTCTTAGGCCTAACATTAGTTAGCCTTTATTAAGTACGGACTATATATTCGATAAAGAGATAAATTAACACTGTAACTTATATACGTTTTTTGCTTTAGTTTAGTAAGGGCTAAACTTTACCGTACTTAATACTATCAATAAATAAGCTTATAATGTTATTCTACAACATAACGTTAGACCTTTTTTGTAAACTTTGATAAGCTTTTAATATTATGCTATACAAGTATATTTACATTCGCTGTTTGTTTACACCCGTTGAAATGAAGTGCACGCACATGCGCATTTAGATAGTAAGGTGTGCGTGCATTTTCAGGACTGACAAAACCTGAGTATAATAGAAGGTTGTGATGAAACAATATAAGTATGGTCTCCTGTGCCTCAGCCATGCATTCAAAAGGATTTAGGAATGGCAATTAACATCGATCCAAATTTATTAAATTTTCGGTCCTAAATGTGATCTTAATCTATGAAACCGCAAAATAATAGTCTAATGCTAAAATCTATTTTCTTCAAATAGTATACAATGGGACAAAAACTTCAGTATTTCGGTAAATATACTGGTCACTCGTGCGAACAAGTAAACTTGATTATCGAGTTCATTTGTGTATAACAAGTGTTCTAAGTTATATATAAATAACGTTATCTAATATCGATTACATTAAATTAATTATTTTCATTACAAACAGAAATCAGTAAGCACTTTACCTAAGTGATAAAATTTATACACTTATATATGATTCTATCATTCAAAATGGTCACACACACACACACACAAACATTTATTTATTCAATAGCTGATACTGATTTAATTTGTGTGTGAAATAAGATACACAGAGGACAAGAGGCGCTTCAGGTTTAATAAGTTAAAATATAAAATTCATATTCAAGAAGTAATTTAATGATAATACAAACAGTGGAAAAAATTTCGATGTCTGCCGCCAGAGGTCTAGAGATTTTAGTACCACCTCTCGACCCTTGAAAAACACCCAAAACTACAACGCTTTTGTCGTTGAGAGAAATTTTGGGCATATTTTCTGATAAAAAAATATACTTTAAACGATAGTAACCAATCATGATATCTAAAATATATGGCACGTCCGAAAAATATTTTCAACTAAGATTGTGAAAGAAAAAAAAACTCTTTCAATCTTAAAATACTACTTTTATTCGTAGAGTTTTTATCCGTAGAGTCATGTCATTTTTATGCTTTTTAACTGATAAGTGCTGTGATTTTAAATTTATAACAAAATAACAAAAGCAACATTCAGTAAAGTTACTTTTAGGATAATTACAAGCTAAAAAAAATGCAACAAAAATTAAAATCATTAACATCATGGCTTTGACACAAATATGGAAATACATGAAGCAGTGGTCCGCGAGGTCTTTTGTCCCACCGAAGTGGTGCTCAAACGAAAAAGTTTCAGAACCGCTAGCATAAAGTAAACTCTTTTCACATCACAAGCACGTGCACAAAATATTCGAACGTCGAAAGATAAGAAATCAACTTACCCCTATAATTGCATTTAATTCCGTCATGGTGACTTGCTTGGCTCTTTCTACAGCTGAACCTACTTGTTGTTGATGCTGGAATTTTGTTCAAATAATACATATAAAGATGACTCAAATTCAGCCAAAAAAACAACAACAACCATGTCAAGACTAATCCAATACATGTACTTTAAGTATAATTTTTAAAATAGTGTGTTTACAACTACGTGAAAGCAAACTTCAAATTATATTTAATAACATTACAAAGTCCAATCTATCCCGGTCGGCCTGAGAGACCCCGATTTTCGGTGAAAGGCCTTGTTGGCACTGGTTTGTTTTGAATTTCGCGCAAAGCTACACGAGGGCTATCTGCGCTAGCCGTCCCTAATTTAGCAGTGTAAGACTAGAGGAAAGGCAGCTAGTCATCACCACCCATCGCCAACTCTTGGGGTACTCTTTTACCAACGAATAGTGGGATTGACCGTCAAATTATAACGCCCCCACGGCTGAAAGGGCGAGTATGTTTGGTGTGACGGGGATTCGAACCCGCGACCGTCAGATTGCGAGTCGAGCCCCCACAACCACCCGGCACTGATTACAGCAGAAACTGTGAGGTTACTATATTATTGTACACTTTTTTTTGGCTTTCACTCAGGAGTTGCTATTAACAACACGCGCGCGTCTATCTATTCTCACAACCAGTAACTTCATCTTTATAAAATATTTAACGTTTAATACATTGAAATATGTGACACACAATATACAAACATCCATGCACTGTACACTATTGTAACGTTTTTAATGCAGCGAAACCTAACTTTAATCCACATAGCCTTATTTAAGTTACTTACTCCCAACAGCTTACCTCTTGAGACAGGAAAGGCAAAATCTGGGCAATGATAGCGTTTAACCTCTTTGCAATTTCAGACTGTAAAATAAAATGAAAAAAAAAAGGATTTAACATTTTTTTTTACTAAGTATGTTTGTAAGGAATCACTAAGCTAGAACATTTCTAAGTAGAAACAATTACCGTATTTTTCGGTGTATAAGACGCACTTTTTTTACCCCAAAATTTGATGTCAAAATCTTCTTGCGTCCTATACATGCATGCATAGTTTAGTTCAATTGAATGTGTTATTTATAACAATAGTAGTTTTTATTTTAAAAACATAACTACTTATAATGCTCCCTAAATAATAAT